GAATCCTCCTAATTTCTTTCCATTTATTATTTCCATTATTTTGAATTTTTTCTAAATTTTTTTTTTTCAAAGTAAAAAAATGTTTGAAAACATGTAATAATTTAAATTTTATGTATTTATTTGTTTACAAATAAAATTCTTTCCAAATTTGGTGGAATAATAATAATAATAATAATAATAATAATAACAATAATAAATAACGTGACAATGCATAAAATTTGGTAAAGGTATTAGGAGGTGCGTTAATTTCTGGAAGAGAATCTTTAAAAAATCATGTTGTTGACAAAAGTAAGAGAACTATCAATTACGAGCTCTAACAAATATGAATAAAACACTCAAATTTCGCAAACTAATCGATGTTGCTGTCAATGTTGCTGTTTCGCCTAGAATCTTATGATCTTTTAAAGTCATATAGTGTTAGTCTTTGCGCAGTACTCTCGGTGAAAAAACAATGCAAAAACGTGAATAGTTCATTTTGCGTAAACACAAAAAAGGAAAATTGGCCTCGAAAATTTTTGATTTTAATCATTATTTATCCAAATTTAGGAAACAAGAAATTATCTGAAAATTTACTTTAATAGGGGGAAATCGTGTGATTTTAAATAGTGATCGACTGGCTAATAAATTTTCATAACCAATCAAGTCATTAACATCATACAAGGCTATACCCAAAATTCGTTTTAGTATAGTTGGTTCGGTCTAAATACCTCCTAAATTTTGCCTTTAAGTTTTCTCAAAAAAATTATTCTTTTTTAAAACATGTACTTTTACTATGCTCATAAGGAATTTGAGCACTATGATCATCGCTAAATTTAGACTAGTTTTGATCATCATTACTAAATTTGGCGGTAAGGAAAATAATTTTTTAACCAAAATCACGTGAAGCCCTTTTTTAAAAAATTACTTTAAAAAGGTATCCGGCCTACAATTCCTCTATTTTTCATTAAGCAAACAGGTTTCGATATTTTCGCCAGTTATATAATCTACATCTCACAAGATAGTATAAAAGAAATTTGGTCAAAAGAGCTCGGAGGTGGTTTTTGCTGGAGACAGTCCCATATTTACTTATTATT